AATTCCGGTAGGGGGACCCATCCATACCTTTCAACAACAGTGCTACATGCAAAGATGCAAATATTATCTTTTAACCTGTGCTGTGCCAGCCTTTGCTATGGATCCATTTACAGTCTTTTAATATTGTTTTCCTCCTCAGAAGTGTCAGATTAGGTGCATGTGGTGCTGATGAAGGCAGATGAGGGTCTGCTGAGCACAGAGTGTGTTGTTAAGCATGTCCACACTTGAGAGGAACACAACTTATTTTGCAGTCTTTGTGAGTCCTATTTTGACGCTTGCTTCCCTTCTCCTCCTCTCCCTGCACTAGGATTCCCACTCGGAGCTTCCCCTCCTCTCCCCCTCCCACTCCGAGGTGTTATGGGATGACTGTTTTTTTGCTCCTTTACCTCTTTTCTTCCCTAAAAGCGTCCTAACCAGCTCGGCGGGCTGGTGCCAAAGCTCTGCTGCAATCTGCACACATCGCAGATCGCTATCAGTGCCAACAAGGCGCTTTGGGGAAACTCTGCCAGGGTGACTGTGGGGCCAGGAAAATCCCCAGAAACCTGTTCTTGGAGAGACTGGGAAAACTCCGGCCGTCTCCTTAGCGAGGGAGGTAAATGAAGGAAATTTCGGGGCCAACACCAGGCGAGCGAGAGCGCCGAGCGAGGTGCTCTGCATGGATTAAATCCTGACAGATAAGGCGCAGCTGGCGGATAAGAAAGGGGAAAAGTCCGGGAAAGGGGGAAGGCCGGAGCTCTCCCGGGGTAGCCCCGCCTGGCCCGGGGCTGGCGCATGTGCAGGCGCCGTGGGCGGCCGGGCCGAGCTCCGGCTCAGGCCGCGCAGGGAGCGCCGGGCGCCATTGATGGCTGCAGGAGCAGCCGCCTCCCGCCAGCCCTCCCGGTAGGTCTCGGCGCCGCGGGGCACCGTCGCCAGCTCGTTTGGTTGGAAAAATGGACTAAAAAGCTAAATTCTGCCTCCCCGCACTTTGAGGCTTGCCAGCGTTCACAGCAGCCTCCAGAGCGCTGCATGAGAGGGGGTTTCTATCCTAGAGGTTCCTGGCGTTTGAGGAACTGGGTCCCACAAGGGCACAGGGAAGCTCGGACGGGTGACAAGCTGGGCTGGCAGAGCAGAGGCAGGAAAAATAGAGATTTTTTATTTTATTTTATTGCATTTGTGGATGCGAAATGGGAAATTTAGAGGCCGCCACTTCCAAGATGTATCAGCGAAAGGTCAGGGCAGAAGGAAGTTTTCATGGGGGTCTGCTCTGCGTTTCCAAAAAGCAAATGCAAACAGACTGCAGATATTATGTTTAAAGCTGCTGCCTTAATTGTAGGAAGGAAGTGAGAAGTCTTCACCACTAAGGCTAGGGACACTAAAACAAATTGATCTGTAATAAAGCTGTCTTGGATGTCATTTCTTGGCCAACATGAAGGCTGTGATGTGATATTGGGGGCGGGGGGCGGTATTCGGGGGGATGATTCTTTTCCCACCCCAGCCAGTCACTGAAATACAACATAAAATTGATGTCCTGATCTTCTCTGTTTATTTAAATGCAAATCTCTGTAATAGAGAGTTTTAATACAGTGGTGCACATAGCTGGGTGTACACAGCAAGGGAGATCATCCCCAGATTTGAGGCTGGAGTACAGGTGGCAGCTCCTTCCCCCCAGCCCATGTCTCTCTTGTCTCAGGTAGCATGAGCACAAACAGGGTCTGAGGGAACCTGCACTTCTCCTTTGCTTGTCACAGAGATGGATGTAAGGTGTTCAAATAGGACCCCACACTTGGCCAATTTGTCCTGTGTCCCCTGTTTCCACCAGACTCAAACGCTGTCAGGAGCAGAGCCGAAGACTTTGCAAGGAAACATCTCCGATGGTCATCTTATTAAATAGGAGGTGAATCCAGGCCTGTGGCCTTCTCTGTCTATTATTTCATTACTGTATGGAATAATACAATTATGTATTATTATAATTTATGCTTCTCTGACAGGCATGCTACTTAGAAGGTGGAAAAGGCTTTCCAGGAGCAAAACAAGCAAGAACCACTTTAGTCGTACAGCATAGAGTGTATTTTTAAGAAGAAACATGCTTTAACGTTCAGAGTACTTACGTAGATGCCTTTATATTATACTGTGCCTTAGTGAATATTCCTTAACTTATATCCAAGACAGCCATTCCAACTTCAGCACAAGTTAGTGCTGCTACCCAGCCAGGGAGGTTTCGGTAAGTTTTATCTCTCTTTGTACACAAATAAATAATGACTCTTCAGTTTTCCGATTTTTTTTTCCCAATTTATCTTAGCTCACGTGCTGATTTGCAGGGATTTTTTGTTTAGCTGTAGTTTAGCCAAAAAGTGGCTCTGAACGTTGAAAATGCCTGTGGGAGTGAATAATGTGACCCCAGGGCATATTTGTATACATTTGACTGTCATCTCAGCTGGGAGGAAGGCTGCTTGAGGACTGATCTCTACTTTTCTGCTCCCTTTTCCTACCTGAAAGGGCAAGAAGGGGCCGAGAGTATCCGCCCAGCTGTGTAGCTCCGCATGTCCTAGGAGCCGAGGGGCAGGCAGTGTCCTTGATGTCCGCTGTCACCGTATGTTGGGGGGGTTTCTGGTTCATGTTTCCCTTGAGGACACCAGCTGGAGACTTCTCTCCCCATGAGCAGCTAACCCAAGCTCCCCACGTTCCTCCTTTGAGAAGACTGAGAGGAGATCTGATCAACATGTACAAGTACCTGAGTGGAGAATGTAGGGAGGATGGGGCCAAACTCTTCTCTGTGGTGGCCAGTGACAGGACAAGGGGTAATGCGTACAAGTTGAAACACAGGAAGTTCCACCTCCGTGTGAGGAAGAACTTCTTTCCTGTGAGGGTGCCAGAGCCCTGGAACAGGCTGCCCAGAGAGGCTGTGGAGTCTCCTTCTCTGGAGATCTTCAAACCCCGCCTGGATGCCACCCTGTGCCACGTGCTCTGGGTGTCCCTGCTGGAGCAGGGGGTTGGACTAGATGATCTCTAGAGGTCCCTTCCACCCTCAGCCATTCTGGGATTCTGTGATTTCAGGTCTCCTCTTTCATGCTCCCCTTTGCCCTTGCTCTGCCCGGTGGTGCTAACGTGCTTCTCCTCTTTCTCTCAGCTACACCCTGAACAACAATCTTCTAACCACAGAGCAAAGGCAGTTCTATGAAGAGAATGGCTACCTGGTCATTAGGAAGCTGGTTTCTGATGAAGACATTGAACGCTTCAGGTACAGGCCCCCTGCCAAAGCTGCTTGCAGTGTTTCTGTAGAGTAGCATCCTTGGGAGGTCTTGGAAACTGCAGAATTGGGCTGTTCCAACATGGGAAGTGGGTGTTGTCGCTGAATTCCTCTGCCTCAAAAGTGTTTTTGAGGAGCATGAGCTGGTAGGAGATTGCTAAACTGCTCCATCGTCTCTGGTTCCCGCCCATTTTCCAGGAAGGAATTCATAAGGATCTGTAACAAGGAGGTAAAGCCACTGGGAGCTATGATTATGAAAGACCAAGTGCGGAGGTCCCAGTCTGCTCCAGCTGAAAAAGCAGTCAATAAAGTGCAGGACTTCCAGGAAGATGAAGAATTGTTCAGATACTGCACTCTGCCACAGGTAAAAAAGGAGTGGAAGAACCTATATGAACATAATTATTCTAAAGCCTGTGGGAAGAAGCTTTTGTTTAGTTCTGATGAAACATCATCGTTTAGCCCACATATGGCCCCCAGATATCACTCCCATGACAATATAAGTGTTTTCTCTGTGAACTTTTTTTTTTCCCTCTGGGCAAAGCTTGTGCTCTCTAGCCTTGTAGCTGATATTCAGGCCTTCTCAGCAGACATGTGGGTCCCAATACTTTCTCAGCATTATTTCTTGCATCTTTCATTTTTCTAATTTTTTCTCCTAATGTTTTCTTCTCTGTAGGTTCTCAGATATGTAGAGTGCTTCACGGGGCCAAACATAATGGCAATGCACACAATGCTGATAAACAAACTTCCAGATTCTGGTAAGGAGAATTGGATAACAGGAAAATACAGAAATTGCTGTGTGTATGCTATCTAGCCCAAACTGAACATACTGTTTTAGAAAAGTTGCTTGAATCGAGACAAATTAAGACCAAATCATTTTGAAAATATACGAGGCCACTCGGATAGTGGTTTGTTTGTTTGGGCTCTGTCTTCCTGAGAGGCATTTCTTATCTTTCAGTTTTCTGTGGCTATTTGTTTGCCCGTGTGTTCAAAAGTAGACATTGGAGCTGCTTATTCGGCCCCCTGCTCTTACATAAAGGTCCCCAGTCAAAGCTAACGCGCTCTTCTTGAGCTTGTCTTTTCACATGTGTTCAAGGCAAGTGCTTCTGTGCACCTTAATAAAAAACAGCAACAGAGAGAGCATCCTTTGCTTAGAGTTTATGTGCTCTTTTCCATGCTAAGAGTTCAGACATGTCAAATTGAGGCTGTAACTCCTAACCTCACTGACAGCTGTCGGCTGCTCAGCACTTTGATGCGTGGACACATATCGAAGAGGTGCCAGAACAAGGATTTTGAAGCTCAGCTGTGGCTCTCGCTGCTAAAACTTCATGTCATAATTCATACAAGGGTGGTGGGAGGGAGAGGAGAACCTGATTAAGCATATTATAATATTTCAAAGAAGCTTTGGCTCTGTATAAGGTATTTTAGTTAGCAAAGTTGCAACCTGAGCTGCGTTTCTTATTCTCAGGTGTGCAGCTTCTAAGTGTGTGCATATTGTGCTGTGTTATTAAAACACTGAGGTTTTTTCATGTCATCTTCATTTGTTGTCTTAAAAACACCACAGAAGTTTTGCATGTTTGTTTGAAAGGTCAGTAGAAGATGATACATTTATAAAGTAACAACAAAAGTGGTCAGCAAATGGGAAGCTGTTCTGTATTTGCAAGACCTCCACAGGAATCCTGTTGAGGAGTGTTTTAGGAGAGATACAGTCTCCGCAGGGTTTTCTAGGCTATCCAAAGCCTGTCTGAGACAAGCAGAAACATCCTGATTGTATCAATGTAAAGAGAAAATATAGTGGCAAGAGAAGTCATGGAATATAATATAATAGTAGACCGTTTTGATATAGAAGAGGATATTCTGTTTCCATTTCCATAGTGGAAAGAGAACTAACAAGCATAACAAGAGCAATGCTTTTGGTGTTTATATATTAATAAAAGAGCCCCTAGGAAGCGGGCTAATAGAGTGCTGGGTGGTTTGTCAGGGGAGGCTACAGGCTCATAAACAGAGATTCTAGAAAAAATAAAATAAAATAAAATAAAGAAAGGTTAGATAGTGAAACAAACATCTGTTGGGAACAGCACAGTCAGGGTTGATTCTGCTTGCAACACAGGGATGGATCGAATGTCGTCTTTATACCCTTTCCAGCATTGCTCTCTGTAATTCTTTGAAAGTCTTTGTACTGTGGAAATTTTATATAACACAGGGCTGGCTAAAGTTCATGAAGCTGGAGAGCAGCCCGAGTAAAAAGTGGAAACTCAGCAAAGTAGGGGTAATGGCCCGGGCCAGCAAAACAGGTCTCTGAGCAAGTGCATGGCCAGGCAGCCTCCTGGAGATGGTGCTGTGTGCCCTTGCCTTGCTGACCTGAGGTCCATGTCTTTGCTCATACTACATCTTAGCAGGAGGATGACTGGGCTTCAGAACTGGTGGTGGGCTCCACCACGTGTTTGCTGAGCAGTGTCTACCCACTGATAACCCCCTAAGACACAAGTGAAATGACTTAACATGAAGGAAAAGCGTTGAGCGTTGCCAGCAGGTCGAGGAAGGGGATCCTGCCCCTCTCCTCAGCTCTGGTGAGGCCACAGCTGGAGCATTGGGTGCAGTTCTGGGCTCCCCAAGACAAGGACATTGAGCAGAAGCTCAAAGAGAAGAGAGTGTGCAGCGTACAGTAACGAAGATGATTGAGGGACTGGAGCATCTATCGTATGAGGAAAGACTAAGCGAGCTGGGCCTGTTTAGTCTGGACAAGAGAAGGCTGAGAGGAGATTTGATCAATATGTTCAAGTATCTGAGAGGCAATTGTAGGGAGGATGGGGCCAAACTCTTCTCCATGGTGGCCAGTGACAGGACAAGGGGTCATGGGTACAAGTTGAAGCACAGGCAGTTCCATCTCCATGTGAGGAAGAACTTCTTTCCTGTGAGGGTGCCAGAGCCTTGGAACAGGCTGCCCAGAGAGGCTGTGGAGTCTCCTTCTCTGGAGATCTTCCAAACCCGTCTGGATGCCACCCTGTGCCACGTGCTCTGGGTGTCCCTGCTGGAGACGGGGGTTGGACTGGGTGGTCTCTAGAGGTCCCTTCCACCCTCAGCCATCCTGTGATTCTGTGACTCTGTGAAAAGGCAGTGTCGCGTTCGGCGAGGCTGATGTTTGGCAGCTCTGTTGCAGACAAGCAGACCTTCCTCCACCCCATGCACCAGGACCTGCACTACTTCCCCTTCCGCCCGGCGGAGCGCATCGTGTGCGCCTGGACCGCCATGGAGAGGGCCCACAGGGACAACGGCTGCCTCGTCGTGCTGCCGGGGACGCACACGGAGCCCCTGAGGCCTCACGGATACCCCGAGGGGCAGGTAGAGCCTTGTGGAGGGTGTGGGTCACGCTGTGGTTGGGAAGAGGCGCCCGTGCAGGGATGAAGCACAGGTCAAAGCTACAGGTTTCAGGGATGGGTTTTCTGTTTCTGCAGCCACCCAGATGCTCTTTCACAGGAGAGCTGTTCCCTGTCACTGTGTGTGACTCCAGAGTGGCCCTCCTCCCCTTGGGCAGATGTCCTCCTTCTCCCAGTTATGGGAGTGGAGTTGTTCAGATCATTTACCCGTCATTTACTGGTTGTTCACCCTGGTAAATGAGGGGAAAATGTTGCTGTACTCTTGAAGCTGGCGGGGATGGGAGCCTTTCTGGAGCTGAGCTGTCACCGCAGTGCAGTTCAGGGAACGGGACTGGGGCCTCTGAACTATCATCTGGCACACTGTGACATAACCACATAAACACATGCTACCATTTTCCCCATTCTTGCCCCACCTGAGGCCTCTTCCTCTTACTCATCCAGGAAACACCCAGATGGAATTAAATATAGGGAGTGGCTTCTTCTTAAGGGATGTTTCCTGAACTGACCTAGCATTGGTGATAGTCATAGTTGGAGCAGGCGCCTGAACCACAGAGGTGGCATCTCATGCTCTTCTCTGTTCTCACCAGCGGAGTCAAGTTCTTAATTATTTAAATCCATCTTCAGAACTTCAGACAGAGAACAATTGTGTTGTGCCTCAAACTTGTGGGCTCTTAGTTGAGCAGGCAGAGTATCCTACATAGAAGAAATCAAATCAGTTGTTATTTTTGCCCTCCTTTGCCCTGAGAAATTCTAATTGCTCTACTTTTCATTGAGTAATTTCAAGTTTGCTGTTTTTCTAGAGTGTAAACAAATTGTTTCATGGAATTCTTGACTTGGATGAGAACAGCCCCAGGGTTCACGTTGTCATGGAAAAGGGAGACACGGTCTTCTTCCACCCCCTGCTCATTCATGGCTCCGGAGTAAACAAGACGTCAGGTTTCCGAAAGGTGGGAAACTAGCCTTGGTTACAGCTATAAATATTTTGTTTGCTTTTAAAAACTGAGCTAAGTAACATTACCTTCCCCCTCTTCCCAAACTCATGAAGTTCTAGATGAACTTTTTAATGTCTTCTTAAGTCTCTAATACACTTCTGGTATCTTAAAAAAAAAGAAATCAAACCAAAAAACCCCTCAGTCTTTTGGAAAGAGCTTGCAAGGAGTCCTGGAGAAAAATGGAGCAGGAACAGAAATCAGGTGTTGAATCTATTTTTGAAGCCTGGCTGGATATTTCTCCTTCTCCAATAGTTCCCTTCCATCTATCTCAAATATTCTCTAACTTCTTTCCCCCATCCTCTTCATACATCATCTCTTGATACTGGGAGCCACCATTGGTCAATAAATAATAATTATTTCTATGATGAGAAGACCCTTTTTTTTTCCTGTTAAACATCAGATTTCACATCAGCTTTTGCAGTTTTGCGTCATTATGATTTAAGACCAGAAATAAGTAAAGGTGTCCTCCTTCTGGGGCCCGATCCTTTGCCAGAACTGGTTTCACTGAATCAAGGGCTAAGGGAGCTGTTGCCTCCATCTCTTTGCTATCAGTAATACAGATGTTCCCCCTCATGCACTGCAGCACAGATTACTGGGGGGTTTTTGCCTACATTGACTCTTTCATGACACATTTTTTCAGTCTCAGTAGCACTTGTGGAATCCCCAGCAGCTATTGAGTCCAATCTGCTGCCTCTCTCTTCACAAACAGCTCACTGGTCCTCTGGGAGGAAAGGTCTACCTTGATGTGTAAAGAAGAGGTCAGGTGTCCACAGTCAGGGATGAACCAGCTTTTTCCACTGGTTGTTTTGTAATCTGTGTGACAGTGATACCCATTTTCTGCCTGCAGAGTATAAGCTGTCACTTCGCCAGCTCAGAGTGCCACTACATTGATGTGAAGAACACTGTCCAAGAAGACATTGAGAAAGAAGTAGTAGAACAGGCACGTGCAAAATTTAATGTGACTTCTGTGGACCTCAAGGTAAGAGTTTGACATGTGTAACAGCTCCCTTTTCTGTGTGTAATGCTCCCTTGCACAACTATTTTGTAGTTTTTTTCCTGTTATTCCCAGTGCCACGGATCAAACTAGGTGTAAAAAGCTGCAGGGCCAAGCAGAGAGGCTTTCAGAATAGAAGATCTGATACTTGTGGGCGACTGGCAGGGTTTCAGTGACCTTGTTCTCTAGGAAGAGACATCCCTCTATGTCTCTTGGAGCTCTGGATGTTCCTGCCCCAGTTCTTGCTCATCCAAGCGGGTTTTGTGAGCGCCCCTTGGTGCAGCCTGAGCTAGTGCAGAAGGTCAGCCCTGGGGCTGCTCACGTTCACGTCTGACACCGTTCAAGGCTGCAGACTTCCACACAAGAAGCCCAGACTTGCCCAGCTGGGTAGCAGATTATGTGGGAAGGGCTGATGCCAGAATAGGGTGAAGTTTATGCAGGTGTTACCCTTCGTTGCATGGCCTTATTCCGTATTTTTGGGGGGAGTACAGCTCAAACAGAGGTCTTGGCACTTTTCTAGGCTTTGTGGCGTGGGTAAGAAGACGGAGTGATCTCTTGCCTTGAATTTGCAAGAAAAAGAATGAGCAATAAATTCAGTGCTCCTCCATAGCTGCTATGCACATAGTGCTTACAGGCTTCACCTCCCAACAGCAAGTGGGTTTTCATTTTAAAAAGAAGTAACGTCACATCTGACAGGACAAATTGACTTCACCTCCCAACAGCAAGTGGGTTTTCGTTTTAAAAAGAAGTAGCAATGTCACATCTGACAGGACAAGTTGACTTCTTCTTCTTCTTATTATTATTATTAAATATTATCATATATCAATTACTTAGATTTGAAGCAACAGGAGGAAAGTGAGCATGGATGTACATCTGTCGCTGTATCTCCCTTCCCCCAAAATGGTAGTGGGGTGAGATTGATGCTGACTAACTGAAACAGTTGGGTACAACAGAAAATAAATCTAAATTCTGCAGGGGTTCAGCCACTGAAAAAAAAGATAAACCTTCCACTAGGATTGAAAGTTTCCTAATCTTCGAAATTTTGTAAGCCACAGCATTTCCCAGACGTGCACACATGCATTATTAGGAGAGTAAATTCTAGATTTAATAGACAATAAGTACCTTTTAAATCACTAGATGCCCAAAGTTTTTTGGGGGAGGCAGGGATAGGGGGCCTGTTTTTTTTCTTTGGCTTATTTGCTTTTTGTTCATTTTTCATCGGGTGCCTAAGGTGCGTTTTATTGTTATATGTTATATAGTGTTATGGGGTGTTTTAGTGCTAGCTGTATTTTTGTTCATGATAGTTAGGGTTAGAAAGGAGTCTTTTGGTATTTTGATATATTACTACGTATACTACTACTATATATACACATATGTATACCACCTATATTACTACTATATTACTATTACATTATATATACTACCTAAGCAGAGAATGTTGTATCTGTTTCCTGCTGTATCCTACTCACCATCATGGCTGGCCCTTTAGGCTTTTCCTTACTTTTCTTTTGTTTTTGAAGGATATTTGGAGCTTCCGAGCACGGCTCGTGCAAGGGGAAAGAATGAACCTCTAGAACAGCCTCTGAAGACCAGGATGGGAAACTCATGCCTGAAGGTCCCCGTCTCTGAGCGGAGGTTTCTGCCCAGGCAGTCAGGATTCGATACCTGGGTGACTTCTGTATCAGAACTTAACCAAAGACTGCATTACAAAGTCACTTTATGCTGATCTAAAATAATTGCATTGATGTTTAACAGCTAATGTACTTCAAAGAAAATCTAACCTACAAAATCTGAGACTTGCTCTGGTTAGTTATTTTAGGCAATCAAAGAAATATGGTCTGGAAAGATCACCTTCACTTTTTGATGTTTTCCTTCCTGTTTTTTGAAGGTGTCTCATGTGACATACTTCGGGGATTACACTATATTAATATAAGTTTTTATGCAAGCTAATGTTTTTCTAAGATTCCCAACGCCATTTTCTACACAAAGAAAATACAATGAATTTCATCCAAGCACTTAATAGGATCTCGTGGGGAACACGTGATTAGTGCAGCTGATGAAGGTGGTGTTATTGGAACCAGGAGCAGCAAGGGTGGAAGGAGCTGTGTGATGGATAGAAAAGCGGGATTTGTGCTCTAGAGCATCATCCATGGATACAGTTCCTGTAGTGTGGGCTGGTGAGGCCTTGGTGAGCGGTGCTAGCAGGGGTGGAAGGTGTTTGATAGGGTTGGAGAACGCCCAGGACAGCAAACCAGCCTCCTCAAAGCTGGTTAAAACGGTCTCCTGGGAGTCTGTGGTGCCCAGGAAAAGGCTGTTGCCAGGTGGGTGCAGGTTCTCCTCGGGATGCTCCAGCGGCCGGATTGCACTGGAACAAATCTCTTACCTTTTGCAGCATTTTGCTTTCAGAATCTATTTTTGAAATGCAGATTAAATTAGAGCAAAGCCACCGATGGAGTCTGCGTTGTCTTCTTTCTACATTCCCCAAGTATGGGGATGGGTGGGCAGTAGAAAACACTCGTCTAAAATTGCCATTTGTCCCATTCCCCTCTTCTACCCTTGCAGAATGTGCCAAAACTGAAGTGCTGTCAAAGGCAACTGTTGTCTGAGTGCTGCTGGTCCCCAAATGCTGCTGCTGGGCCTGCTCCAAAAGCCCCTTGTGCTGATGGGATGGCCAGCTGCGTGGTCTGATCCAGGCCCAGTCTATATCCAGATGCAGACACAAAGTCCTCCCCCACCCTGGGAGGTTTGGGTGGTTTCCAGAGGGCACATCCAAAGGCCCCGGCTCCATCGCCCTGCTGCCGTGGTTCCTTTTGCTCCTCCATCCTGTGTCTCGGCAGAGGATCGGGCAAGAAGGGGGTGCAGTTGGGTCCTCAACGCAGGAGATGCCAGCACTGCTGCTCCCGGGATTGCCTGGACAAGAGGCAGAAAGTCAGTGTCGTTGCAGCTTGCTGCAAGCGGATTGCTGGGCCATCGCCGCAGAAATTTTTTTGCACTTCTTTCTCGTCTCTTGTAGAAGCCCTTGAAGCTCCTCTTGAACCAAGAGCCCTTCAGGCACTTCCACTGGTTTTCTCTAACACCTTGATGGCAGAGAGGTTTTTGGGGCTGTGACTCCTGTGTGGAGACACGGAGATCCCCTGTGAGAGCCCTGACAGTGACACCAAGTGCCAGCAAGGAGGACACGTTAAGACCATTCCCTGCCACCCCTGCTCAGGGCAGTGTTTGGGAATGCCGGTGCCGGCACCTCTTCCCACACGCTGTGTACAGCCTGGCTGCTGGGCCTGCTCCCAGGAGACGTGTAGGCGCCTCGCCAGGCCTCAGCTGCGTGTGCCCCGTGACCATTTCCAGGGAGCTGCAGACTCTCCGTTGGTTTTACGAGCTCTGGATGGCAGCCCCGCTGGCGCCATCCAGGGGATCTCTGTGAGGATCTTGGGTGTCTCATCTCTTCTATAACTTCAGATTCATGGTGGGGGACTTTCCTGCCTGGTGTTTTCCATGTAGCTGGCTTAGCTGCAGAGGGAGCTGTGAGCCCAGCAGAGCTACTTGTGTCTCTGTGATTTTTCAGTCCTTTCAACTTTCGGAGTTCGTTTTTCTCAGAACTTCTGAACCCAGCCCTTCTCAAAGTGCTGTTCCGCCTGAGGAGTGACTCACTGTACGAAGGAGCAACTACAAAACAGGTCAAGGATAGTCTAGAGCCTGAGGGCCTAAGCTCAGGCTCAGCTCTGCGCAAGGCTGACCCAGCAACACCAAGGAGACCGAGTCCTTCCCGAAATGATCCTGGGCACAGCCGGCTCCAGCAGGACTTCTTGGCCCCTTTTCGGCAAAGCCCTGTGTTCATGGGTGCAGGCTGGCAGTGGGGATCATGTCCTGGGGGTGCCAGGACCTACAGACTCTGATTCACAAGATACATGAACACGAACTAGTCCGAACGGTGCTTGAGGAGTGAGTGCAGATTGAGCCCCTTTGCAGGGCCCTACCTGGAAAACCCCCTCTTGGGCCTGTTTCCATCACCCCTCAGGAGGGTTTCTTCAGCAACAGTGCAGCCACGTTTCCAAAGCCTGTGCCCCCAAAGTAGGGAACAAACAGAAATCATAGAATCATAGAATGCTTAGGGTTGGAAGGGACCTCTAGAGATCAGCTAGTCCAACCCACCCCTGCACACGCAGGGTCACCTAGAGCACGTGGCACAGGACTGCGTCCAAGCGGGTTTGGAAGATCTCCAGAGAAGGAGACTCCACAACCTCTCTGGGCAGCCTGTTCCAGTGCTCTGTCACCCTCACTGTTAAGAAATTTTTCCTTAAGTTCCTATGGAATTTTTGGTGCTTCAGTTTCCGGCCATTTCCTCTAGTCCTATCAGTGGCCACCACTGAAAAGAGACCAGCACCATCCTCTGCACTCCCTCCCTTGAGGGATTTATATACACTGATCAGATCCCCTCTCAGCCTTCTCTTCTCCAGGCTGAACAGGCTCAACAGTAGGCTTTTAGGGGACAAAAAAGAAACAAACCCACAAAATCCACATCTATTCTCTTGCTTGATGTCCTGGCAGCACGGTGCAGGACCGCAGTGATGCTTGCGAGGGTCTTTGGGACATAGTTAGCAAAGGGAGAAGCTCTCCCTGGGTGCAGAGAGCGTTTTTAGTGAGGCCATTGCTAGAAAACAGCCTGTTTAATGGGCCGGTGTTTATTTTTAAGAAATAATATACTATGGAGCAGTGGCACAAACCTGCACGGAGCAGTAGGAGGTATCACCCTCTGGCCCTGCTGCAGGATGAGTGGAAATGTTGGATGAGGGGAGATTTCTCAGAGAAAAGCTGCACTTGTGGCAGGCCAGGCTGGGACAAGGGGGCTGCAGAGGGAGCTCCAGGCACAGCAGAGCTGCAGGGTTTGAGCATCTTCACGGTTCAAATTCCCTCTCCTCTGCAGAGCCCAGATGGCAGCTGGGATGGGGCAGAGGAGGGAGAGCAGTAAGTACCAAAACTGCCAGCTGCCCCCAGCCTGGAAACACCAGGGTTTTCATAAATACTTCGCTTTTTATCCCCCTCACCTTTTTGCTTTTGATCGGGGACTTTCACAGCAAGGATGAGGGCACCTCTGCCAGCCTGGCCATCTGCATGGCCCCGCTTCTCCAACACTCACATTTAACAACAGGGACCCCCTGCCTGCTTAAATATTTTCACCCAGATGACCAGAATCCATTCCATGGGCAGGAATAGCGAGGCCCTAGGGCACTGCAGCAGCAGGGGCTGGATACAAAGACGCCCCAGGCCACCCTTTGGTCTGTGCTGCGTTAGCTATGGATTCATTTTCAACCTCCTGTTTTTCTCCTCCAACGTGGCAGATGACATGAAACACGTGAGGTGGATGAGCATGTGCCGAGGACAAGGCACATATATCACTTTTAAGCACATCCCAACTTGAGGTCTCATTCCTGCCTTCTTTGCCTGTGGCTCCCATTTTGATGCTAGCTTCACCTCTCCACCTCTCCCAGCTCCAGGATTTCCCGTCGGGCCTGGCAGGACCTTCTTTTCTTGGAGAATGAGAGTCAGGACTCCCGGTTTGGCTGCACGTTAGCAGAATATCTGTGTCAACACAGGTGACTGTGGGAAAGCCAACCCTGGCTGCCCAGCTGGACACTGTCCTACAGGGCTCTTCCCCACTGCTTCAGTTCCATAAATCCGCTGGTTTACATTAGGATATTGGGATGCAGAAAAAAAGGCTCCCCAAAAAAGACTTCTCAAAAACAACCACAGCAGCAAAGAGCAGGAGGAAACGGGACGTTGGGCTTGTGACACCTGCGGCTCCAGCAATCACAGCTGCTCCCAGGAAATTTCTGGGCTAAAAACCCTTCGCTCTTCCCACATTCAGCAAGTGCCATCCTGTTGGAGCAGCAGCTGGAGAGCAGCGAGGCCTGATAGGGGCCCATGCAGCCCCAGCCTGGCCTCCTGCACCTTCACCACGCGATCTCCGAGGGGAGGCAGCACCTCATCACTTTATCCCAATTAGTGTCCTGTGACACTCTCAAGAGCGTCCCAGAGGGGTAGGGACAGGTTCTCACCTGGAGCCCAGGGTGCAATCCAGACTCTCACCAGATGCTCCTGCTGGGAAGGCAGCATCAATCCCTGCTATTCCCAGCACTGTGCCCAGCTCTGCTGTATCCAGCAAAACCAGCCTGGATGTTTCCCTCTTGGCTCGAAAGCAAAGAGGGTAGAAAAATAAAAGGTTGTGCTGGAGAAGAGACGATGTGACAGGGCAAAAAGCAATCTTGGCCAATGAACAAGATAAATTTGAAGCTAAGTACAACTAGCAGAAATCTAACTGGAAGGAGGATGCAAAATTAAGGGTGGAAATAGTTACCCTGGAAAAGCCATGTTGCAGAGACACCAGGCCTTTTCCACTCTCCTGCGTGGGTCTGTCATGCTGAAAGGTCTTTACCAAAGACACATCTACCCCCACGTTCTTCTTACTGAATAGAGAGGTTGGGCCGGGTCAGCATCAATGTCTGCACCAGGCTCAGCTGCACTTGGACTCAGCTTGCATCTAATATAATAATAATAGGATAACTTCTTTACAGTAGTAGCTCAGGTCTTCCTTGGCTCTCAAGGGATACAGATATATGCCTACATATTCAAGTGCCTTTACAAAAATAAAGCATTACTCCATCTTACAACTAAAATGACACCATGCAAACCCAGGCAGTGTTTTATTGTGTATTTGCAATTATTCTGGATAAGGAATCTATAGGGAATATTTCCAAGCAAAGTGTCACATATCTACAGACATCAAACAGCGACTTCTCCACCATCAAATGGGCTGACATGAGAGGAACAGGTCGCTGTGCTGAGCAAGCCTGCCCAGGAATAGCACCAGCTGGAGGCAGGGGCTGCAGCACACAGGTAGATCTCTTCAGCTGCCCAAAGTTGAGCAATTTATTTCTCTCCAGCCCCTGTGTAAACCAAGAACAAGGCAAAAGGTATCTACAGCAACACTGAGATACAGCGTACAGTTTGTGGCAGTTTCACCAAATCATCGAGGTAGTGGGGTTTGTACCCCAAAGACCCTGTGATCCTACCTGGCATGAGCTCAGGGCAGCAGAGGGCTCAGGTTCAGGGACACCTGGATGAACAGAGCACATCCCTACAGGGAGGTGCTTCCATGGAAATGCCTGCAGGAGCACGGCCCTTCGGAGCCACCCCTGGAGACTCAACCCAGCTGGGGCTGAAGCAGCCCCTGTCTCCAAGGCTGCTGTGCCAGCATCTAAGGCTAACAGGGTGATGACCAAGAGGGCTTCCAAAAAGTTTTAAATGTTAGCAGAAGCTATCAATCAATGTAACCTTTCAGCTTGTTAAAATCACTTGCACTCAGTACCAGATTCATTAAAATGCCTTTTTCAAGGCTGAAGCTCCAGGTTTGCAGCTGCAAAGACACTGTAGTGCAGACAGGGGGGAAGCCAGCGCAGGCTGCGTGGCGGAGAGGGAGCTCTGGGGAGAGCTGCAAGCAGCACTACACACTGTGTTACTGACTTCACAAGTTTGCAGTGTCTGCAGGCCTCCCAGGCCATGATGGTTTGTCACCTGAAATTTTGGTGGCATCAATCTACATCCGTCATTCAACAAATGTGCAGGATCTCTGGGATTTCTTGGTACAAATCCCAGAGTAGCTGTCTCTTTCCTAGGCTAAATCTCAGAAATCATGTTGCTACCAAGAACAGGCATGAACATGTATTTCACACGCAGCCTTATTCAGTCAGTCTTAAAAAGACCAAAACCGAGTATCGAAGCGGTGGTCTGGGGGAGACTTTGTGGATGTCCTTCTCATTGGAACTGATTTTCCTGTTCATTCGTCCCTAAAAACAGAATCCTCTTGGCTTTGCAGTAAATGTATGTGTGGTTTAGACACAGAAATGCATCCCTGTGTTGTGAAAAGAAAATCAACTGCAGATCACTTGAGACTGTTGAGGAATTTTGGCTGTTCTTCCCCTCTTGGTAAAAGTGTTTCTCCACCAATCTTCGGACCTTTCTTCTCCTAAAAAGATGATCCATGGAGGAAAACAAAGTTAAACATGTGGCAAGGTGGCTCCCCAATAGTTTTATGACAGAAATTGTGGTAGGGCTAAATTATCTGATATACTATTGACAGAAGCTCTATACATTTTGACACTTAAAATTCTTACAAATCTAGCCACAAACAAATTCCCCAGGAGCTGATTAAAAAGAGGCTTCAAGAACAAAAAGCAAGGAGAGAAACAGCACCAAAACACAGCATGGAAGATTTGCTGCTGCATCTCACTGTATCTCCCAGTGCACAGAGCGACAGCAAGTGCCCAGTAAGTATCTGAGAAGATGCAGAGCAGCTTGGATTCAGGAGCAGCGATGCAAAGGGTGGGAGAGAAGCACCAAGAGAAGCAGCCGGGGTGCTCAGGACCTGCTGGCTCATTCTTACCTTGAGCATCCCGTCCCGCTCCCATTTGAAGAGGCCGCAGGTACTGAAAGAGGAAGATGGAAGGTGAGGACTGCTGTGGTGCCTAGTTATGAGGTGGAGGGTGAGGAAAAACTAGCCGCCCCCCTTTCCCACATAGCAGCAAGGGCTATCACTCAGTATTTAAGTGACTGCCAGGGATTCATGCAGGAGCTGCCAGCAGGGCCTGGCGAGGCTGCTCACCCACCTGCAGGGCTTCCTGGGGAGCCTGTCGAGGGAGAGCGCTCGGCTCCCGCACGGACACTTGAAGAATCGCTTGAGGGCCTCGTGCCAATGGTAGTCGTGGCTGTTCTGCACACAGGTCTCCAGAGGCTTGAAATAGGTGTAATTGCACTGCCAGGGAGGAGGGAGCCGTGAGTGCTTCGCTGGCATGGAAGTGAAGGGTCCAAGAGGAAGGCTCCCTCCCTCCTCCCATCCCAAGGTGCCTGCTGCTCAGAGAGCACTGACCAAGGTTTTGCCACCCCACTTTCTAATGCCACCCTCCCCTTCTTGCCACAGCCCTGCTTCCAGCACCACATGGGGCACAAAAGGGCCCTCTGTGCTGCTCCAGGCACGTAGGAAAGGCCACAAGAGGGAAAACATGGCAGGGGCTGAAGCTCCAGGGTGGGAGGTAATTCTTCCCTCCTCTCAGCGTGTTTGGGATAGCAATAAAGTTCCATTCCTCCTTGCAGTGTTTTTTTTTTTTTTCCAGGCACTGGGCTTCATTTATCATGAGGGTCCTGGTACAAAACACTTTAGGAGAAGGGACTGTGAAATATGGATGCCAGGACACCAGAGTCCAGGATCCACTGGCCACTGACACAGGCATGAAGCTGAAACGCTCAGCCCAGCACTGAAGCCTGCCTTGCTGATAGCTCCTCCGTGCCTCCAAAGTCCCTTGCTGCACGGGCTGCAGCAGCCACACAAAATCAAACGTTCTCCATGTGATCCAAGTACCAAACTATGGCCCAGAGACTGAATCATGGGAGTCTGCAGCAAAGTCCAGCACAATTTGCACAGCCCCTGCCCCACTCCACTGCTGTCACTTTGGCCTCTCTGTGCGGCGCCACTCACCGTTTTACACGTCACGACTCGGCATTTCACTTCTTTAATGTTCCTCATCTTCTCTTCCAATTCTTCCTTTTTCACCAGTGGCTCGAAGTATTTTTCTTGCAGCTCAGCCTCAGCCTGTCAGGGCATGACAGAGGATTGTGGGGAAACAGACATGGGAGAAGACACCGACATCTAGTCTTGGGGGAAAATCACTGGGCCTGCCTGGTGCAACCCGCAGTCTGGGAGCCAGTGAAACACTAAACAGCTATTTTTAATTTTTTTAAATGAATATAATGGCTGTTTTTCTGTGGCAGTGGAACACATGCATCTGTATGTCATCTCATCTGAAGTGAGAGAGTGGGAGGGTTTATGTGCTACTGAAATAAGCATACACGGATAAAACAGGGCAGGGAGAGGTCAGTAGGCAGGTGTAGTGAATAGGTTCGATTCTTAGTCAAAATGTTGTTCCTCAGAAGACCTTAAAAGTTTAAAACTAAAACTTCAGGTACAAGACATGAGGGTCATGTGCTGCTGGAGGTGCTGTTATCTCCTGGGAACACGCTCAGCAATTACTCTGGTGGGAGTAACACTACCTCTTGACTCATCAGTGCAACTGCTGGCTCCACCACTTACAGAAGTCCTACACTGAGGTGGCAGTTGTCTTTACGTAGCTAAAATGAGGAGAAATGAGGGACAAAATAGGCAAGTGTCCATCTTTCCTGGGGGAAAGAAAGACCTTATACAGATACAGCCCTCCAACAGGCCACCTGCTGTGGCACAACAGGGATTCAGGCAATTGGAATTGCCTGAATGGCAATCTGTCCTCGCCTGGATGAATGTCAGAGATCGAGAAGGTGAAGTCCTTCATTGGTTTTAAAGCAGAGGGCTTTCTTTGATCATCCACTGACCAGGAAGCTTCACTGAATCTTTCAAACCCAAAGAAACATGATAGCAATCTGACTTCACCATGTTTATGGTAACAAAACTGATCTGCAGGCACTGCACCCTGTGTGCTTGGCATCCCTTGACCTCCTCCTTCAAGAAATGTGGTGTCTATCACATGTTTTCATGCCTGCTTCTTGCTGAAATTGTTATGGGGAAGTCCAGGCAGCTCTCTGCGTTCGAGCACTCGCTCAAGGCTGGACTGAGGCCATACCTCTTTCAGGACACCTGTGTGCATGGATTTGGCATTCAGGATTTTCTGGAACTCTTCTGATTCCAGGTAGGCCAGCTGCTCTCGCCGTTTCTTCTGGGCAGGCTCCAGTTCATCCATATCTAGGGAAATAAAATGAATAAGTACTAGAGGCCAAACTCAGAACAAGGTTGTGATTTTTAAGCATAATCATCACAGGTGACTTTGGAAATGTCAGGCCTTTCAGGCAGATGTTCAGGTCAAACAAACAAACAAAACTCTTAACTATTCAGAAGAACATGGTAAGTTCATAGATGGGCTCAGGAAACTAAAAGCATTTTAAAGTTAACATCAAGTCCTCTCTCAAAGCACTATACTAGGAAGTTTCACATCACTCCTGAGAGAACAATGCATGTTCTCCCCCTTACTGATCCAGAAGCTTGAATAAGATTAAGCAACTTATCCAAGGCCACACACCAAATCAGCAGTAGGGAAACTCAGGTTCCTTGGTAAAATTCATGGTGAATTTTCTGTTGACTATTTCATGGTCTCACAGAAATTGTTCCCTTAGTCAAGTCACCCTTCCATTGCAGGTGCTCAAATGCTGGAGCAAAGAAATCAGAGATGAGAATCAGAAGTTTATTGTAGACAACATGTTAGTTTTTCTCCATAGGGCTGTGAATCATTTAGCTTTTGAGCGAGGATCACTACACAGTAAATTCTTTATGTTCCAACAGATTTAATTTGGCCTCCCTTTGTCACAGCAAATAAGTTATTAACACAGTAGGTGGTGCTCAGTCCAGCACAGCTTTTATGTTGCAGTGACTAACATTACATACCGTGTCCTGCTTCTGCACCCTGGGGCTGAGCAATATTTTTCTCAACTCTTTCAGCAATTTCTAGGACATCTCCAAGATCAGACCTTTTCCTCTTGACACTGTTCGGGTCGGATTTAGCAAGAATCTGGCCTTTTGCTCGGAGTCTGTGTATCGCAGCTAGCTAGAAAGCAAGAAAAAGCAGCAAATGTTTAGCTGGTCCATATAGCCAGTTCCAAAGGTAGAAGAGGGAATTTCTTAAGTGGAAGAGGCAAAATCCACTGGTCCAAGCACGGAGGTGGTCAGAGAAGCACAAAAAAATCCCAGCTTTTCTGTACGTGTGGTAATTCACTACATCACCCAACCTCTGATCCCTTCCCAGTCCATAAAATGGCTTTTTCTAGGGTATTATCAAGTTTGGTGTCTCTGCAGATCACTTAAACTGTGGAGATTTTCAAATAAATCACTAATAATTGGGAACTAATGAGAAATTGCATAAAAGTATTCTTTCTCACCATCGCAAAATGTTAGACTCCTCCTTCCTACTAGACTTGCTGGAAAAAAAATATATTTGTTTGACAGGCAGGAGAAGAGATCTCTGTCAAGGAACATAGAAGTCAGTTCTGGCGAGGGACCAAAATTACTCAGACTTGAGAAACATCAACTTAAACCAATGGAATTCACTGTCACCTACCTGGCAAACAAAAACGTCCATAATAGCTTTCACTCACAAAGCCAAAGAACAAATTTTGCACCACGTAGTATTCCAGGAATTTCCAGCAGAAATTCTCTGCCCCTTCCCATCATTTCATGCTTGTAAAATAACCAATATGTGATCAAACCAGTTAGACTTTGAATTAGTAAAAGACACCAGCTCCTATGGCTAAGGCAGGACCTTCTTTAGTAGCTCTTCTGCTGCTCTGAAGGTTGACTACAGCAAAGACAGGAGCATGTTAATACTACCAGCTGTCTGGACCAGAGGCTTACTAGGTAAAATAAAGCTTGGTTTGATTCCATGGATCAGGAATCACCAAAAGCAGCCTGTATTTGATCAGAGACTCCTCTGCTATCACCAATTCCCTTAAACTCCCCTTCTTGGGGCTCAAAATTAACATCCTCAAAGAGCTGTTACCTTTTTGGCTTCAGCCAGGCTGTCCAGCTTTGGTGCTTGAGGTGGAGACCCATCAAAGAAAAGGATATCTTCTCCTTCCGAGAAGCCTGTGCCAAGCCTGGGCCTTTGAGGTGTTGACATTTTTGCAGCTTTGGGAAACTCTGCCCCGGGTGTTGGGGAATGGAGGGAAGACTGTCTGGAAGAGGACGGAAGAGCAGGGCTGCCGGCTTTACTGGTGTTCTGGAGAAACCTTTGAGGAAAACAAAAAGAATCATTGGAATAGAGACAAAAGGCATAGAAACAGAAAGGCTTAAGGATGGTATTTGAACGCCAAGGGATGCAAAAATTGTGATTTTTGACTAACTGACCTGGTACTGCTAATAAATCATGCATCTATTTAGCCAATCAGAAAAGCAAAACAAGGCTACTAAGGAACCCACTGGACTGCTGAAATCAAGAGTGACTCAGAGAAGGTAGGAGGAGTGAACAAGCACCTTATTTGCAAAACAAATGAAAAAAGAGAGAATTATCAAGTGAAGCTGGGAGGCAGGAGTTGAAAGCATTTGAAAAACCAAGTTTCTTCATAGAACAGGTAACTAAGCATTGGTGCTCGTCACAGGAGTCACTTAAATGCTTAAGTTTACATAAGTCCTAGTTGAGGTTAGGTTCACAGAACAGAAAAAAAAATCCCTTCAGAGCTACTCTAACAGACAGTAGTGACCTTTAGCTCAGGAAGTCCCTGAGGCATCACACTTTTGGAGGCTGGAAGACTATTTAGAGGAAGTATCCCTGTGATTGTGCCTAGTCTTATTCTCCTCCTCCAAGTTCTGTTTTCGCTGATCCCACTGTCCTGCTCTAACCAGCCTCCTCCCATTACCCCTTCCCACTGCTAGGCACTGCACTGGAGCGTTTGCTTCTCCACTGAATAAACACTGGCATATTTCTATAAAAACACCAAAATGCTTCCATAATTATGCGCAGGGCCACAATAAGGGGTCCCTTCCTATGAAAGCCAAGTTGAATTACCGCCTCTGAATCTCCTCAGATCGTTTTTTTCTGGCCTCCAGCAGTTTCTGCTTCTGTTGCTTGAGCAGCGCTGAAGCAGAGACAGACTGGAAGGCGGCCCCTTGTTTAGTTTCAGCATCTGGAAAACAAAACAAAATAAATCTAATCTAATTTTTGCTGAGAAGGAGCCAGGTTGTTATCAGGAGGGGGCTTTCTGTAGGGCACATACCTGCTTTGGTCCAGTGTTTGCAGAGGTTTCGTGCTCCAAATGTTGGCTGTGCCAGCAGCTCTTTGAACTCCTCAGAGCAAGGAGCAGGTCTCTTTGCTGCACCTAAAGTAGAAGAGGCAGAAATCCAACAGATTCAGAGCCAGAGAGGGGAAGAGGCCTGCTTGAGAGGTAGTTAAGGTTGGAAGGCACCTATGGAAGGCACTGGGTCACGCTCTCCTCTCAAAGCAGGGCCAGCTCGTGCTCTAGGAGTCCCTGCTGGAGCAGAGGGGTTGGACTAGATGATCTCTAGAGGTCCCTTCTGTGATTCTGTGAACTTCTCAATTACATTAGGCTGCTTAAAGCCTTGTCCTCACACAGCACATTACCCTTCAGTAATTTCATTAGCTGGACAGTCCCCCCACCAGTCTTGACAGTCTGAGGCATTCCCGTTTTTAGAATGCTTGAAAGCCTTTAAATATTTTCCTTGGAGAATGAAGACCAGCTAAAAACTAGGGCCAGGACCCACACTATGCTGACAGAGATGGAGATAACTGAAGAAAATGAAAGATAGTTTGGATATTTAAGTGACATCTAGAACATATATTCAGAATACTCAATAATTCAGAATAATTTGCTATACACTGAGTGTAAAGAGTGTCATAATATTAAGTGCTTTGCAGAAAGGAAATGGAGGCAGGGAAGATCAGTGACTTTTGACAGGGTATGATAGGAACACGCTTTGAAGACCACAAAAGAAAGGTGTTAGAAACAAGCTGGGCACTCAGGAGGCTGCCTGCATTGCAGAGCTGTCTCTGCTTTATACTTAGTATTCCTTGGATCCTCCAAGACTGACACAAGTCATATATTTTAATCAATGAAAACAAATTCTCTGGTTCAAAGTTCTCAGAGCTTCCATTTCCTACTAATCTGGTAAAGATCTTCTGTCACCATCCAGAGACAGAACCAGAGACTTAATTTAGGGGCTTCAATGATAAATCATACATGGAGGGACCCAGTTGCTTAGTTACATTTCCCTTGCAGCTGTGATCTCGAGAGAGAAAAGGAGTTTAGGTCAATTGAGAGAGCACCCTGCAAATGGCCATCTTTGTAGCAAACCAGCTGCCAGATGAGCTCAGCGAATGACAGATTCTGGGACACAGCCACACACCAACTTGAAACTACATGATGGGAGAAGGGACCACGTGGGGTGGTAGGTACCGATTTTCTGCCTGGTTTCCTGGACAATTGCATCAACTCCTCTCACGACCAGATTGGACAGAGTCGTTTGAATTTTCTTTTTTGGCACTGCAGCTGCTGCACTAGAAAGAGGAAACAAACAAGAACATCAGAGTTTTTCCACACTTAGAGCAGGAACAGGAGCTAGTGTTTCAACAAAGCTCCAGTTGCCGTTTACTCAATCCAGATTGGATCCTCTCTCCAGTCATTCGTCTTTGGGAAGGACTGGGACCTAAATCTAATCCCAGCACATTAGTCTCCCATTTTTCCCTGGGTTGAAATACATATTTCCTAACCATCAAGCGAATACTAAATATGTCACAGTTAAACCTAGCTCACTGTTAGCTCCAAAAATGCAGAGAATGCTGGAATTACTTCATTACTTTGGAGTTGCACAGGTTATTGGATAGCAGTGGGAAGGGAATCAAAGCAAGCACAGGGCTTGATGCAGCTGTAACTCAAGTCTTTGCACTGCTGTCTTCACTGGGATTTGGATGCAGCCCCTAACTCAAGGCTAGCATGAGATGCATGCACATCTACTGACCTTGGTGGCCACTTAATACACAGGATGTACTACTGCCTCTCTACTAATACATAGTGATACTCTCATTTCAGTCAAGGAAAAGAATATGCCGAGTCTGGGATTAAAATACAGTGAGTCACAGCAAAATCTGGTAAGGGAACAGCACTTAAAATATCATCTTGGATACTCAAACGCTTGGGACTTCACAAAAAAATTTATTTATGCTCTGCAACACAATACTAATTAGGAGGTAGGGACACCCCCTGCTACAACCTAGCACTAGATCAAAGGCAAGAAGATGTGGTTGAGGTTTTCCTATCACATCAACTCTCTTATTGCATGAGATCTAGAGGATTACACCAAACACGAGGCAAATACTCTTCTTTGATGAATGTACTTAAGTCAAAGGAACCACTAACTACGTGGAACTTCTTAAAGCTGCCTACAAGCTCACTTGTATAAGGCAGCGAAGAAAATGGTGCTTTAGCTCGAGGTAAATAAGGAGTTTTATCTTACACTGAGGCTGCGTACGCTGCTGAGGAGACGCCTCCGTAGTAAAACCCATCCTGACACAGCCTCTCCTTCAAAGTGGGATTTTTTCGAGCAAGTTTTTTGGGTACGCGGCCTCCAGAGAAGGTGGCCTGCAAATCCGCCCGCTTCGCGCTGAGCTTCTTGTACTGGGATTGCACATGATACTGACAATATTCACAGTCATTCTGAAGAAAAGAAGAGAGACCCGTTGCAGAACACTGACAATTACAATAGAGTTCATTCCCCTCAACCAAGTTCATCTTTTTGAAGCTGAAGTCACATCTCCATTGCAGCTCTCCTGTCCAGTGCAGTCACCAAACAGATCCACAACTCAGCAACGAAAAAGCAAAGATAAAATTTCACATGCTAATCATTGTAAAAAAAAAAAAATCCCAAATTTTGTGCATTGAGGACTTTCCCATCCCAGGAATCTGAAGGGCATTCATTGGCTCAAGCCAACTCATGATCCGAGTGCCATTTTCTGTAGACACGAAAAGGCTTCATGCTTCTAAACCACAACTACTTCATATGAGTATATTGGTTTATTGTATAAACTATTTTTTACTATAGTTAGAGTTATTAGTACAAACCAGTGCTATCCCGAAAAGAAGAAACCAGTCTTTCTCTAGCTTGCTCCTGCTTCCTCTCCAGTCCCTCACATGCACATACAAATATTCTGGAAGTTTGTGTAACACACTGGCACTGGAGCTGGGAACTCATCATGGTTAAAGTAATCTCCGAAAAACCACAACCTTTTCCACATGGAAATTCCATTTGTTTTAGCTAGGATGAGTTCCCCAGTGCAGTGCATGGAAGCTTGTACTGGCAGTAAGGGAAGGGAAAGGATATGGAGATGGGGACAGTCATGTAAGGACCATCTCCTTCCACTGTAGCACCACCCAGAGCATGGTTTCACTTCTCAGTTTCTCAATACACTTAATTAGCTACAATTTAAGACACAGAAACTAGTCAAACATGAGTGTAAAAGCAGCAGCAGATTAAGGATGTCCTAACTACCAAGATACAGACCAAGTTCACAATCTGTGTGCAGGGGTCACCATTCTTCTTCCTGGCTTTGCAGGTCCCCATGTCCAGAGCTTCACCCATGAGGAGGATCTTCTGGGGATGGTCAACAGACAAACACACCTAGAAAGAAATTTGAGCAAAGTTTGATGAGGACCAAATGGGCTTCTTTCCAGAGGTCATTGGCTTGGGTCTGGCTCAGTTTGGTACCAATCAACAGTCATTCACTGGTCAAGCACTAGCATCCAACCTTCTGTGATCTAGAGGCTTTGAAACGTTTCTAGCCAAATTTCAGAGCACAAACCCTCACTCAACAGAGCAGCAGGTGGCAGTCTCTACAAAACCAAAGAGCAAAAAGCCCTCTCAGCCTGGCATGTTTCCAGTCTCAGTATCGGCAATCTGGCCCTAAAAATCACTGATAACTCAAAAGTTTCCAGGGGGTGACTGATGGCTTAAGTCCATTGTACAACAACAACAATTTCATCTTCACATCACCCAAAGATGCTGGAGGTTGGATTTGTAGGCAAGAAACAATCTGGGCGACCAATTTTAATGTTGCTCTGAGTTTGTACTTTTTAGTTTAGAGGAGTCATTCTTATCAATGATAATTAAAAGAGCCCTTACATTAAATCTGCTATGCCTTTCTACTCAGCAACATATTTTCTACTGCTTATTCATGTGAATTTAAGCAGTTACACAGCCTTATAGACAGAGATTCTTCATTTTTCCATTTTGAGGATTTTAAATACAAAGCACTACATTGCTGTTACTAGATTCAAAAGTTACCAGTCCATTATAAAGATATTTAATGATTAACTTATTAGCAAAATGAAGCCATCTTAAATGTTTTGATACATAAGGAAAAAATAGTTCTGCATTTAAAGTAATTGATTAAACAATTGAAGTTCTATGTATTAAGTTAAAGATACATAAGATATCACTTGTTTAATAAGTCAAACATTGCTTATTCTCTTTTCAGCCATGATTTTAGAACCAGGAATCATTTTCCAATCACATCTCACACTTAAATTAGGAAAGGGAAACGGGCCTCCCACCTTTTTCAGCTCTCCAAGTTGAGGGACCTTTCAGCTGAACTAGGCAGTGCACTGAAGAGGCTGAGAAAACCTGCAGTGCAAACACATTCTCTCCTTTTGTGTCCCTGGGAAGTTAACCCCTTCAGTCAACTTTGATTTTAAATCCTTAGTGGGACTTCTTGAAGTTCAGTCTTCCAAAAGAGCAGGGGCAAATATACACTATAAATTTTTTGAATGAAATTTAAACTAGTTCGGCGGACTACTACAGATTCACCCTTACTGTGGTAACTCTCAAACAGATTTCAGGAAGTTCAGCCACGGATTTTTATCCGCAGCTGATAGGCAAGTGACAAATCCTCTCACCTCATCCGAGCCCTCTTTAGGTTTCATAAGATTAGCATTGAGCAACCCAATGACTGTGCCTTGGTCGGTCTTCCAGTGCTCTTTGTGGACGTCACCAAACAAGAAGAGCGAGACACATTGGTTGAGATCTCGTAGGTCATTCAGCCGCCAAATGCTGAAGGTTCTGCCCTGTAACAGACATTCACTCTCCTTTTAGCTCTCCATAAGGGGACCCTACTGGCATCCCCTTCGGCTGTTGCTTTGAAAGAGTTATTTTGATACTTTTTTCAATTTTAGAAAATCTCCAGTTTTGGGCTTCTTAAAGGCCAAGACAACACAATGACAGCATCAACAAAAGTGGCTATAAGAGCTGTAATAGACACTGCTGCTATCACTAGTTTTCCTGGTATTAATAGCCAGGCTGCACCTCTGCTCACTTGAATACAGGTTTTAACCCCACTGAGCAAATGAAACCAAGATGTACCCAGATCTCTGCTTTATAAATTACTTTCTATATCATATGTACAACACAGAGGACAAAATGACCTCTAGGGAAATGAGGGAAGGAAAATTTGCTGGCACGTTTAGAACAAGAGATTTTTCACTGTCTAGAAAGGGACACTCACACCTTTCACTTATACCAGCATTTAGCAGGTAAAGGCAGCTGAGCAGATTTAGAGATTTATGCCGTGGCCAATTTTTTTACAGTAATGCTCAGGACAGCAGCACCAGTTCAGCTAATAACTGAGGACTGAGACCAGCATCACTGCATGAATCCAGATGAGCCAAGACATTTAAAAGAAAAGTTTTCATTAATTTGTTGGATCTGGTTGATGAAACTAAAAACCTAATTAGTTTCTCAGGGAAGATAATCAACATTTCACTGGTTCTGAGTGAGGGATACATTGAAGTTACTTACGTTATTTGAGCTCTGAGGAGTGACCTTCCTTACTATGACTCCAAATGTTACCCAGTCCGTTTCCTCCAGATTTTCTGCAGCAATTTTGCTCTTTATTTGGGACAGTCTGATGAGCTTCCGGTTGGCCATTTTCCTGTCCATTTCAGCTGATGAAACCCGGGGTTTTCTGCATGAAGCAAAAACATGCAAGAGAGAACACATCCCTCAGCATAAATAGGGCCAATCAAAAAACATCTAGCACAGCAAAAATGTCTTTAAATTCCTCAAGTGATAGCTGGCAATTGGCACCTATCCATCCTCCACCATTGCAGGAGACTCCTTGCAGCTCTTCTTAGTGCTCTGCGCCTGCGAGTCACAGCATTTGCACTGATCACACACTTTGCTCTTTGTGCAAACACCTGCAGCACAGCTTCACCTTGGGCCTGCATTTATTCTGTTTGTTTGGGGAAGAACTGAATACCTGAAGGGTTTGAAATCCAGCATGTTTTCTGACAGAGACAGACACAAGCACTCAGAGACCTCTTGCCACCACACCAAGCACGGGGAACCTGAAGTGGCCCCCGAGGGCACGTTTTGCTCTGATCTGCACAACCAGTGCCTGTTCAGACCTTGTACACGTGCACTGCTTCCCTCCTCCACCCCTCAGGACATCCCAGGACAGGCAGTTTTAACCTGCTGACCTTAGTCTGAGTCCAGAGAAGGTCTCTACAGACACTGGCTGAGCTGCTGTGCTGGAGCACACGGGTGCTTGAGGAGTTTTCTCTCTGATCCCTTTACTGGCTGTGTTCCCTGGTGCAGACTTGAGAGGCTGGAAGGCCATACTGAGAACTTGCCGTGGAGGAGGAGTCTTGCTCTCTTAAGTGGGGAAAAAATGAGGAAAAAGTTTCAACAATGAAAGAAAACATAAATAACACCACCTTACACATAACCAGACACAGGAATCTGAAACAGTTAAGCAAAAACTTCTAATCATCTAGGAACAGAGAGTTCCAGATCAAGCAATGTAAAAAGTACATTGATCACAGTCACAATAACCAACTTTGTAATAAGCTCTGTTTTGCTGTGACCACATTGCTACTGCTCCACTGGCTCATGCAAAACTAGCCAGGATGTGTCCACGCTGCTGCTGTGAACTAGGTGCCTTTTGGATGAAAGCTCAGCAAGAGCTTAGTGAAAAGCAGACTGAGAATGGTACCTGCTGGGGACATTTTGGATTTCTGGATCCGTCGCTTGGCTGCTGGCAAAGGACTGCCCAGCTGGTCTGAGAAACACGGTGACTCCTGCAGCTTCTGAACTTTCCTTTCCTTTAAGGGATGACAGAGTGATTTACCTGGCCAAAAAAGTAAAAAAATATATTTTATGAGATCTCAGTATCTGGCCTCAAATACTAAGAATTACTCAAACTAAATAATTCTTTGAATAAAAACTCAAGTCATGGTCCCACATGGAAACCCTTGCACAGAGTTGCCAGCACTTGAAATGCAACAGCTGGAAAAGCCCCAGTGGCTCTTTCTACTTCCCACAGCTTGTGGTTTCAGTGACATTTAGAGTTTTGTGTCATCAGGGGAAGAGCCATTGGGGCTCCCCTGCTTTTCAGTTTTATCATTTTCTGGACATATCAACACGTGCCAATAAGGACACTTCCAGCAGAAGTGCTCAGAGCTCTTCAGTCACAAAAGATGCCCCCTGCATTATCAACCCATGATACAGACACCAAAACTGCAGCTCAGTAATTTCTTGCATTGTCACAGCAGTCTGCAGGTGCAGGATACAGTCTGCACGTGAGCACACCAAACCACCATCCCTCCTTACTACCCAGTGCCCACTTTAGGATTATCTGGAGCCTTGCCGAGAAACTGCAAGCTGGGAGGCCAGCAAATCAGAAAATCACTTCATTAGTCTCATTACCAGGGGTTTTCTTCTCAGGCTCCGAGCTGGATGGCTGCCCAATTGCAGTCTTTTGCAACTGCTCCTGTAATGTCTTCATTTGTTCTTGTAATTTTCTCAACTCAGCTAGCAAAGAAAGGGGAACAGAAAAAAATAATAAAGAAGACAGTACAAAGTCATTGCAAGAGATTTATGAGACCCCTAGAAAACTGGCCGTTTCTCTACATCATAGGAATTTAGAAGAGAACTAGAGCCAGGATACAGTTCGAGATCTAATTCTGGATAGTTCAGCGAAGGGCCACTATCCAAAATAGCCAGGAGCTGACTTTTCTCATATAAATATTTTACTTCTGCACGGCACTTTGCTGGCCATGTTGCATTCATGTTTGCTACTGAACATCAAATAATTTCAATGTCTGAGGATTGCATTCTTTGGCATAGAGAAATGTTTCCAGTATAATGAAATATATTGTGTGTGGCCTGGGCAGCCTAGGAAGGCTCTGCTGAGATGGCAGAACCTCCTGCACGGATGCAGAGATGTTCCACACAACAAGGCAGAACTTGGGATCTCATCAATGTTCCCTCTCTGTAAAACAGGTTTATGGTTTGAGTCTGTGTAAAATTGTCTGGGGGATACATAATGGCAAGAACACTTGCCTTGAGGTCAATTTTTCACCAACTTTCGTGAAGCTTTACAAAGCCCATCCCCTAATTACATGGGGGGCATCACACTATCACTGCTGGCTCAAAAATGAAGTACATCCATCCCTCCGAGAGAGATGGCCAAAAGAGGAGCTCTAGAAAACAGAAAAACGACTGCTGGCTCAAAAATGAAGTACATCCCTCTAAGAGAGATGGCCAAAAGAAGAGCTCTAGAAAACAGAAAAACTGAGGTATTTTGAGAACAATAAAAAACAAGTTCAGCAGATCATTAAAGCCTTGAGGGTCCAGAAATCCCTCTGATCTTCTTGTCTTTCTGAGCAGAGCCAGTAGCTCTGACTTGATCCCTAAAAATACCTCTCAGCCAAGCGCAGGGACAAAGATCCACAGGATCCAGTTTTGATAAACCACAAAGTGGTTTAGGACCATTAAAAGAGGAAGACAGAGTTGGGCTGGTAAAAAATGTCAGAAAGACAGCCCTGAGGACAGAAATAACATTGCTATTTGTCAGACAAGGTACAGGTCCATAGGTAACGTTCTCCATGTTATCTCACTAGAAGCTCAGTCTCCCTGGCTTACTCAATCATCACTCTCCCTTTTGGGACAATATGTATGGCAAGTTTTGCCAAATGAGCAATGAAAACTAGATTTAAACTGCTCTATCCAGTATTTTTCATAAGAAGTGTCAATATATTCCCTATCAGGGCATCATCTGACCTAAATTGAGTCACTCTAGGCCCTATCTTCTGCTCAAAAGCTCTATGGAAACAATACATAAAACAAATCGGATCAAATACGCCGTTACAGAAACCTTGCAACTCTTGGTTGGTTTTCTCTTTCGCCTGACTAGGAGCTGAAGCAGCGACAGCTTCTTCCACTTCCTCCTCTTCCAGCAGGTCATCCACATCTCCAAACAAAGCAGCCAAGTTCTCCTTCTGCTCGTCGACCGCGCTCTCCTCTGCATCGGCCTCCTCAGTGTAGGATCCATCATCCTCTGCATCGAAGAGCTCATCGTATTCGTCTGGTTCTCCTCCCTCCTCCTCTGGGGCACCTTCCTCCTGTGGAGGATTTGCCTCCTCGGCTGCATCACTTTCTTCCAGGAGGGAGGCTAATAGATCCAAGTCATCATCAGCTGAGGCAGAAATTAAGCTCAGAGTTACTTCTGTTCTGCTAGAGGAAAGCTGCTATGGAATAAAACATCCAAGACATTCTATTAACAAGCTAATAGCAACCAGAGGTAAAACAGAGCAGCAAGAGCTGTTTTTGAAAAAACTCCTTCATCTTTGGCTAAAGGAAGACAAAGGAGTTTCGTGCTGCCTACCCGAATGGAAATGTGGTTGCAGACAATCCCAACCTGTGATCCAAGCTGGTGGCCAGCAGAAAGGTTGCAGGACACTTATTCCTGGCTTTTCCTCCTAGGCAGCTGTTTGCAGAACAGCTTCTGCTATAAAGAAAAGCCTGGGGATCTGTAAAGAAATAGCCTGGATCTCTCTAGAGTCATCAGCTGCAAAGCTGGCAAGAGAGCATAAACTTGGGTATGTTTTGCTCCAGGAAAAGACCAGAGCAGCAAAGAAACACCGAGCAGAGGGTGTGGATAGATAATGGATAAAAATAATGGAAGATAATGGAAAAAACAAATCAAAACAAACAAACAAACAAAAAAACAAGCACAGAAAGAACAGGAACAGAGCAAAACTGAAATTCAGAGCACACCAAGCAATGTATTTTAGCCTTTGCTGCAGAACAAAACACAAAATCAGAAAAGCATCAGAGCAGCCTCGGAGGGAGGTGGCACTGAGGAAGCTAAGGGGGAACCTCAAAGACTTTTGTGAGGGAAACAGTAGAACATAATCTCCACTGCCAAAAACTTGAGGAAATTTTATAAATATATGAACTTTGAAACTGATTTACTGGTCCGAGGCCAAGAGTAGAAAAGTAAGATCTTACCATCCATGATTTCACCAGAATTTCTTCAAGAGTCCCTCAGGGAAAAATATTCTGTGTTAAAGGGAGAACAAAAGTCAATAATGCTAAAAAGGATGGAGTGGTCAAGTGAGGGTACAGGAGGTCAGACTCTTTACTTGGTAATTTGTAGAGCACTCACTCATTTTCCCTTGTGAGAACTCTGGTAAATTTATACTCCCCATGTATACTTGCTACACCTGATGTTGATCTCTGCTGAACTCCCTGAGCACAAGAGCATAACTTCTACAAACAAGCTCCCTCACTACTAGAAATTTTAGGAAACATCTTAAAATTTCATGTACACGATTTTTTTTCTAAAAATCATGTACCAGATTTCAGCCTTGCCAGTCCTGCATCATAATCATGATTTGCATTTAGCTAAAGCAAATCTTCCAAAAAGCACTCAGTTTTCATTTGAAAATGTTGGGAGACAGTGAAACCCTAGTACCTTCTTCCAAAACAGTTCTTGTTCTTACAAGTGTGCGTTCTGGAGACCAGGTACTGGGCTAGATAAACCCTATACAACCATTCTTCAGTGGCTTTTCATGAGAGTCTAGTAGTGCTAACATCAGTGTTAGCACTGGGTGAAAAAAACCAACGTTAATTAATAATAAACCATCTCTCTTTGAATCTTTACAGCAGGGTCCACATGGAAGGAGCTGATCTGCGTGCTGTGCCAATGAGTGAGCCTCAACATGTCCAGGAGAAACAGAAAGGGCGCCTGTGCCCCCCACACTGTATCAGATTTGAGGTGTTGCAAGAAGCAGCTCAGAGCGAGAGCAAGGGAGCGAACAAGAAGTGCAAGAGCAAAACAAGCTGAAGCTGCAGAGAGGCTGTAACGCGTGGCCCGGCTGCACAGCGGGGGTGTCCGGGGGCCGTTCCCGGGTCTGCCACACTTCACACTCTCCTCTTGGTTGTAATTCCAGGATATTTATTTCCAGCAAGGAAAAGGACTCTCCATGCCACAGGATCCCACGTTCTCCCTCCCTGGGAGACATTCCAGCCCCCTTTGGCCAGGGAGTCTCCCATCTCCTGTATCCCTCCATTCCCAGTCAATATCCAATCCCCCTCTCCCACCCCAACCAGGATCCACTCCCAGGGGGCACCTGATCCCTTCAGGCCCATTCCAGGAGATCCCTGATCCTGGCCATGCTCAAACCCAGGAGATCCCTGACCCTTCCCACCCCCTTCCCGGGAATCCCATCACCCTTCACCTAAAAGGGGGATCTCTGACCCTCTCCAGCCCAACAGATCCCAACGGAGGCGCCAAACAAGATTCCTGATTCCTTTCACCACCTTCACAGGACAGCTTCCCTCCCGCACTCACCACGGCCCCGCGCTCTTCAGCACCCGCCAAAAATCAACCGCGCTCCGCCCCCTCCCCGCATGCGCGCTCGCGCGCCCGCCCTGCGCACGCGCCTTGACGCAGCCGCCATCATTAGTCCTGGCAGCCCAGCACCACCCGGCGCCATGTTGGTGACGGGCGGTTCGTGTCCCGCCGGGATCAGGGCCCGGGAAGGAGGCGCTGAATGACGTCACGGGGGGAGGATGACGACATCATGGCGCTGCCATTCGCCTCAAGCTCCCGCTGCGCTGCTTCCCCACGAGCATTAAGCGGCACCTGTGTTAATTCCACAAATTACAACCTATGTACTGTTTCCCTATGCACTGATAAGATTCCATAGTCGCCTTCCATATTTCCTCAATTTGAGCAACCACGGTTCTCAAAAATACATATTTCCAAAAATACACTGTTTCCACTGTTTTTGTCCCTACCGGCTTGCATGAACTATATACAGAAGTTACACTGAAATTGCCCAAAAATCAAAGAGGAATATTTGAGCTGAGATTCCATGGGGTTTGCATTAAATCCACCCTGTAAAATAATTTATTTTTTAAAAAAGGAGCATATCTCTGCTTTTTAGAAGACTGCTGTTAAGATTATGAAAGATGAATTATGGAATGAATGAATTATATATAATGCAAACACAATATAATGTATAATATAAATAAACATTAGATCTGCTGTCTTACCCTAGCTCATGTCTGCCTGTTATTATTCCTGTGCTTAGATCCCTGTTTTACTGAAGGCTCTTAAAATGATTATTTTTTTGACTTGACAAATGCGTAATTCCCACTTTGGCCTTTCACACGCATGTGCAGTGTTTTTATTAAGGTTAATGCTTCTCAGATGAAATCGGCTCTAATATCATTCTTTTAGTCTGATTTTGGGCATAATAGCAATCCAATCAAATTTTGATCATTGCCAAATCCATAATGTTCACAAAGCTCCAATAATAAAATGAGATTCAGGGGAAAAGCCCATAAATCCTATTATCACAAGGATGTAATTAAAAGTCAA